TTGGCGACGGCGCGCCTCTAAGGCCGATTTTGCTTCCTCCTCGTCACGCGTGCCAAAACGCTGATCGAGTCGGCGCATCAGCTCCTCTAGCTGTGTCTGTGCGCTCGCGGGTAACGCTTCTACAAAATCGGCTGCCCGCCCATCAAGATTCATATTAAGTTGACGCACTGCCTGCGCGTCCGTCCATCCATTAATTTCCTTGGCCCCTAAGAGATTGCGGGCGAATGCCTTCCACGAAGGGGCCCCCCGGCCGGTAAATATTAGTCTTATTTTAGCGTGAGGTAACGCGGGGGTCCATCCCGCTTCTGACACCAATTTGTGGGGGCCGTTGGCCCCCGGGGTCCCTCCCGCCTGCATCCCCTATTCGTTTACGTTACCCCACCTCCCTATTACCCGCTACGGTTTCGCCGGCATTCGAACGCGACGCCCCTACGGTTACAGCCTCGCGCCGCGCTCCCACGCTGCGAGCATACGTGCGCACATCATCGTCGATCAAACGCCGTGCTCGCAGTATAGCCCTGTGCAGCACGTTCCCGATGCGCATCCGTATTATACACGTAGTGAACGTGCGTGCACACACGCATATAGCTCCGTACGCACTCACTCTTGCGCTTCTCTGCGCCGCGCTGGCCGCTCACGTTACAATCGCGCACCTGGGGTACGCCGATTACGCACGACGAGAGCTTACGCATACACCGTACCACACGCGTTCACGCTTATAACACGTAACGAGCACACGCAAGCGGGGCACACGCCGACACAACGACTAAAGTCGCCGCCGCCGTGCGCGCGAGATAAACCGTACAACAATGCGCAGCCGATTACACTATGATCGCGCACCTGGGGGACGCCGATTACGCACGCTGCGAGCTTACGCACACACAGTACTACACGCGTTCCCACACGCTCACACTGCACGACAAGATCACGCGAGACCACGCTTCGCTATTAATGATTTATTACCTGATAACTAATGTTGAATTAGTGAGTCGACGAGGCTGGCCTATTCCACTAAACCGGCACCTATTCTCTATTTATCGGCTATGATTCTAATTCACCTTCTTACTCACTGTTAAGTGTCCACGGCGGTCCGCTGATCCTTGTGTTAACCGCGTGCCTCGGTGCGTCGCACGGACGTCCGGGTCGCTGGCTCGAGCTGCGTCTGGTCGCCTGGCGCTGGAGTAAGAGAGCGATTTCCCCTCTGCGCTCCTCTATTTATCCTCCCTACCTCCAAAGGGGATGCTGCGCTGAACAATGGGCTCGTGCACCCCAAGCCCGCGCACGGCAGTCCCCAGGCGCTGTTGATATGCTAATCAGTGTGCTGCGTGCAAGGCGTAAATCCTAATTAATCCCTTACCCTCCCTAACAATGGGGCCTGCGCGCTCAAGCGCAATTATCCCAACCCTCCATGACTATGCGCAACAGCCCCTGTGAGCCCGCTATTCATGCTGTCCCGTGCCTCCCCTGCTTGCCCCGTCGACTCGTGGGGGTGTGTGTGGGGGGAAATGCGCCTCAACCGCGGTGGCCGAATGCCCCACGCCGCGACCACACTATATTAAGGCCGGCCGCAGCGCCGCGGTGCCACGTAGCACGGGGAGGTCATCCAATTCCCTGATCGCCGGTCGATCAGGTGACCTTCCCTTCCAGCTCTATGGGGGGGGGGTGGGAATGCGTGCGGGTGTGTGCTTATGTGGGGCGGGTGATGGGGGGCAGTGCGGTGGGGGAAGCCGGGCGGCTCCCTGGTTCGGCAGAGCGGCCCCGTCGTTGTGGCACCACAATCCTTCTTGATGGTTGGAGTGATGGCTTTGCGGATTGTGTAGTCGGAGTAACCATTAGCCTTAAGGGCTTGGCGTACGTGTTTGAGTTCACTGGAAATGTGTTCATGGTCGGAGATGCATTGGGCTCTATGATATAGAGTCTTGATGAGGGAATTCTTCTGGGATGGATGGTGGTGGGAATCCGGTTTTAGATAAGCATCCGTGTGGGTGGCTTTCCTGTAGACAGAGTGGCTCATTGAACCATCAGGTCTCCTTTTGATTAGGACATCCAAAAAGGGTAGCTTGCCATCATTTTCGACTTCCATGGTGAATCTGATGGCTGGGTGTATGGAATTGATGTGGTCGAGAAATTGGTCTAGAGCAGGCCGGCCATGTGGCCAGATGACAAAAGTGTCGTCTACGTACCTCTTCCATAAGGTCGGGCGTAGAGTGGCAGTCTGGATGGCGTCCGTCTCAAATTTCTCCATGAAGATGTTGGCTACAACCGGAGATAGGGGGGAGCCCATTGGGGTGCCCTCAATTTGCTTGTAGAAGGTTCCATTCCAGGTGAAGTATGTATTGGTTAAGCAGTGTCTCACCAGGGGGGGTACCCCAGCATTCAGTCCTTGATGAACCAAGTCTTCAATGATTGCGATGGTGTCAGGCACAGGCACCTTGGTGAACAAGGAAACCACATCAAAACTGACAAGCAGGTCGTCTGGGGACAGGGCAATCCCCTTGATTGTCGATACCAGGTCAGTAGAGTTTAGTACTGAAGAGGTGGTTTTTCCAGTGAAAGGCCGTAGGATTTCGGACAAAAAACGAGCCAGTTTGTAAGTGGGGGAGTTGATAGTAGAGACAATGGGACGAAGAGGTGTATCTTCTTTATGTATCTTTGGCAAGCCGTACAATCTTGGTGGCCTGGCTGCAGAAGGTTTCAACGAGAACTGTTTGGTCTGATCAATTAATGCGGTTGAAGCAGAAATGATGTTGTTGGTTTTGGAGACGAGGCTGTTGGTGGGGTCTCTTTTTATTTTTGTATAGCTGCCATCGTTGAGTAGTTCTTGAATTTTGTTGTTGTATTCTATTTTGTCCATGATGACAGTGGCATTGCCTTTGTCGGCTGAGAGGATGACAATGTCATCCCTCTTTTTTAATTGAGCTAATTCAAAACGCTCATCTTTGCTGATGTTGCTAGCTGGCATCTTAGCGTTTTTGAGGGTTACAGAGATTTCAGATCTTGCTACGTCTGCAGCTATGTGACTCAAGCCCTTGAGAGCTACATCTACTCGAGCAATTATATCATTAACTGGTATGTGTCTAGGTGTGACTGCAAAGTTTAGTCCTTTAGCTAAAACGGATTTCAGACCTTCAGAAATAGGACTGTTACTGCGATTAATTACGACTTTGTTAACATCTAGCTTTTCAATGTGTGGGTCCGGTTTCTTGTTTGAGAGGCGGTTGAATTTGGAAATCAAGTTGTCCTTACATTTAGTCGACATAGCGGCAGCTGAAGAGGCAGTCATTTTTTCCACATGTTCCCAATCCGATGTGGACATTGTTACACTCAAAGATAAGTGTGATTTGTAGAGTGTCTTGTCTAACTGATCTAGTTCGGTGCGCGTAAGTCTGATTTTCTCTGAGATAAGAGCTAAGCTAGTTCTAGACAGAATTCGTTTCGCATTAGAAGAAGTTACAGCAGCAGATGTTAGTGTAAATGCGTTTGGTATTACCTTAGAGTCGCGGCATCTCTTCAGAAAGGTGAGAGACTCGATTAGCTGAGCCTTCTTATCCCGGAGCTTGTTGAAGGATCTCAAAGTTATGTGGAAACCCTCCCCGTAGAGGCGGTTAAATTTCGATTTAAAGCTTTCGTGACTGCAGGGATTCATCTTCTTGGTTCTTTCGGTAAAGTCACGTAGAAGGGAAGTAATAAAATAATAAAAATAAAACATAATAAAACAATTCTCACGACGTTTCGGCCACAACGCAAGCAGCCGTCCTCAGGTGAAAACCAGGTCCGTCGAGGCGACAGAGTCTGAATGAAACAGCACACGAGCTTGGAGCATATATATAAGCTGGGCGCATTGACAAAGGAATTTGCATATCAAAAGGAATTTAGCATATTTATGGGAAATGCAGGAATGTGATTAGTACTGCATATGCATGTGCATTATGCAGGATTAACAGCATCAAAGGGAGCTGCAGTTACTGCTGCTGCAGCAGTTGCTGCTGCTGCAGTTTCTGCTGCTGCTGCAGTTGCTGCTGCTGCTGCAGTTGCTGCTGCTGCTGCACTTGCTGCTGCTGCTGCACTTGCTGCTGCTGCAGTTGCTGCCTTATCCATTTTAATATAACACTATGTATTATTCTACCCACCCTACTGTGTATCATACTGCTATATGTTTACTGTACAATTACGACACCATACATTACTCTGCACACTGCACCATGCCAGTGAGTGGAACGCGGTCTGAAAGTCACCATAAACGTGAACACAATCAGTTAAGATCCGAAATGGTTTATTACGTCCTTCCAATGATTGCTAAGCCAGAATCCATCTTCTCGGTTGAAATTGTCTCTGTGTTTGTATATGTGGATCGCCTCATGAACGAATCTCTCATGATAGCCAGATGGCTTGCAGAGAACCTCTGTCTTGGAGAAGTCAATGTCATGTGAGCCCACCAAATTGTAACAGTGAATGCTAGTTTATGAATGCAAAGCTTAAGAGCTGATATAAAATTATTTCGCACCGTATGTAGCCAACCGTGCTAATCGGGGGTGCGGGGGAAGGACAACAAGATTATTATATTGATAATTATACAGATTATTATATATAATTACACAAATTATGCCGATTTGTCACGAGCAACAGTCTGCACGTCACTGAAATGTTATGGTGTGGCTAGAGAGTAGCGAAATGTAAGTTGGGTCATGTTCAAAAATTGGACACAACACATTCAGATGGACTTGGTTACAGGCACAGCGGGTGTCAATTACATTTAATTAGGATGATGAAATGTTTTTTTGAAGATGGTGAATGGCTGAGTGCAGATATTCTGCTTAGGAGCTAATAATTAGCACAAGGGGCCGTCCATAAATAACGTCACGCGATTTTGGACGATTTTTGACCCCCCCCCCCCCCCCCCCCCCGAGTCACACGGTGTCACAAAAAGTGAGATCCCCCCTCAAATATGACGTCACAAAGCTCTGCCTGCCCCCCCCAAAATTAAACATGCTTCAAATCTTTTAAACTATTGTCATTGTAGTGTGTATTTAATGTGGCGCTGCATTCTGATGTTGGAGGAGAATACATTTATTAAAAGTATATTTAATTAAGTAGAACGTGTTGTCGATATTTAAAGTTGAGCATTTTGACGTGTCGTCACATTTCTCAAACCCCCCTCTCCCCGTCGTCACACATCGTCACGAATGTCTGACCCCCCCCCCCCCAGGTGCGTGACGTAATTTATGGACGGCCCCTAATGGGGGGGGGAGGGGCGCCGAGAAAATCCATCTTATGACATTTTATAATCATACAATTGTAGCCTGCTTTACGAGACATCTTAACAGCATTTTCCATACTCAGGCATTTGGGTTCAATCCCCTTGGCTGGATCTCTTTGGGAAAAGAAGAGCCATTAATTTAAAGACTTAGTGAGTTAAAGCCCCGCGTTTGGGTTACTCAGGGGGGCAATTTCCCCCACCAGGAACGCTGATTTCGTACCTCCGGACGTTGACGCAGCGTGTGCAAAGTGTAAATGTTTGACATCGTTGCCGGACGGCAATGCGTACTCACACATTGTGGACAAGCGCGTGTGCTATAGGTCGTTAAAGTGCTCGCCAGATGTATGAGAGACAAACGTGTTTACACAATGTAGCGAGGTTCATTGTATGCAGTGGCGGCTCCTGCAAAATCTCTCAGGGGGGGCAAATGTCTGGATGATTGATAAGGATAAGGTCCACCCATGCAATGGATAAATTAACAGCTTAAGCATGTAAAGGCAACTTCACTTCTTTAATATTAATGAAAAATAAAGTGACTCTTACAATACATCTTGTTTGTTTCTATACTCACTATTATTACAATCCACTCAGTTTATTTTATTAAAGATTCCACTAGGTGGCGACAAATAATATTGTTGACTGAAATGTGCTTACGTATGATGACGTAAGCACGTTAGTTCGAGCCCTCCCGGAAGCCATAGAGAATTCATTGCAGCGCCCGCCGTTCGAAAAAAAACATATTTTAATGTAAGTCTATGGGAACACTCTGGGCGATTCTCAGCCAGAGTGAAATCGCCCAAAAAGAAGCAGTACTCCACAGAACGTGACATGACGCTGATTGGACTATATCCAGAGGCACAGTAACGGCTCGCGTAACTCTGTGGTTGAATGACATTGGTGGTGCGTCGCCCAATCGCCCTAATGAAGAAACCGCCCCTGATTGTATGTACACTAAAAAAAAGTGAAACTGCTGTGGACATATTAATAATTTCTACAGCGAATCGCAGTAAGTCTAATGCCATTATTGAAAAATGTGTATTAAGTGACAGTAAATGTAAACTTTTACACACGTGCGGTACGGTGTTGCATATCCAACCATCACCTATCCACTCTCACCAATTAATAACACCCAGTGCTGTGTTTGTGCATCATGGTGTAACTGTATTTTTCCATAGATGTTCACATAACAGACATTTTTCATATCAGCGTACTGTATATTATATCAATTTAACGCGTAGGCTTATGGATGTATTATATATTGGATATAGAGATTTATATTGAATTATTACACAAGAGTTTAGTTTGTTGTCCTTCCCCCAACACCTCCGATTAGCACGGTTGGCTACGTTCCGTGCGAAAGAAGTTCAACATGTAATGACAGGGGGTAATTACGGTTATGGCTGCATTACATAATGCCTTATAAGGGGGGTATCTGGGGTAAAGGTGAAGGGCGGAGTCAGTCTAGAAGCTCCAGGAACCAGCCCGAAGGTTCTGGAAAGGGGGCGTGGCCAGAGGTGGAGCTTGGCCACGCCGGGCAGATATAAGGGGGACCGAACCAGAGGTTCGGGGCTGTTCTGCGGGTCCTGGGTCCTGGCTGCTTCGCTGCTCGTTGTCATTGCTTCGTCTTCGACCACGTGACTGTTCTTGTGCAAGACCATCTCCGTTGCCGCCACTACGCTAGTCAAACAGCTCGCATAGTGTATGACGTAGATGGGCTGCGTGTTAGGATAGCCTATGTGTACCTGCACACCCCGTGTGCTTTTAATAAATAAGAAGCCTTCTACTCGACGTGTCTCGGAAGTCACTCACTACACGTACAATGAGCGGCTAGGCTCTATGGGCGTCTTGCGATGGTACAGATGTTGTATAGCACAGATCTTCGTTACACAAGCATGGCATGACCTTGGTTTCCAGCGAGTCGGACGTGCGACATTGTACCGCACAACATAGTTCCACTATTATATGAGTGCTTTTATTATAAATTCAATTGCGAAAGGTGATGCATGATGCACGGTGATGCAATTCAATTGGGAAAGGTGATGCGAGGCATTGCAAGTCGGTGTCATCTTGGAGCCTAAACACACAGGGAGAGAGAAGAGGGGAGAACAGGGAGCTGAGATGACAGAACGTGTGAAAAAACACAGATGTATGTATGTGTATGTTGAACTTCTTTCGCACAATACGTAGCCAACCGTGCTAATTAGGGGTGCAGATGCATAGATAAACCACCGGTAATCTGAATAAGCAAATCTTGTGTAAATAATGTAGGGCATTAGCTTACCTTTTAGGACTGAAATAATCATGAGCACCGCGTAGAATATCAGCAACAAACATACATAAGCAGACAAAATCCCTCCTTGCATCTAATCAGCTGCAGTGGTTCAATACAAGAATACTCTGAACCAGGTTTTGACATTGCGTGTCTCATCAGCAGAGTAGGGATTGCTTGAATCTGCTGGTGAACTGCCAGGCACTTATAGACAAAGAACCTCTCTGTTAGATATGGCTCCTGGTTCGTAAAATACATTACACAATATATAATTGTGGAGAATATAAGTAAAAATAAGTAATATTTAAAAATACTTTTTTTAAAAATACGCTTTAATAAAATGTACCATACGAGTAATGGCAGAACTCCACGACTCCAGGAAGTGGCCCCGAAGCTTGCCACAACGTAAGGGACTGTGGTGATTTACAGCCAACGTGAGTTGAGCGTGGACAATTAGACCCAAGCCGAAACATAACATTTTAAATAGATTGTTTAAAAATATATATATTATTTTTAATGATAGAATATAGTATTATCATCAGTATGACATACGTATACCAAGTTTTCAGTCGATACCACATTGGGAAGTGGGTAAAAATAGAGTTACAAGATTTGAGGATACAACAAAGTGAGTTAAATAAAAGCGTGTAATAATAAAAAATAAATAAGCAGACAAATCCAGATAGGTGGAGCCTGAACGAGTGAACAATATTCAGTGACCTGAACACTGTTTCCAGGTTACAGGGAGACTGGTGTTCGGGACGCTTTTGAAAAACATTGTAAGCATAGCATTTTCGACTCACAGCATTGGGAGATGTGTGTAGGTGTTCCCTTTTTAGACCAATTACTGCATATCTTGTTTGCAAAGTAAGTCCCCGGTTTATAGAAGACCCGACTTAAGGAAATCCGACCTTACGAAAATGCTCCAGTAAATCGTGTAAAAAAAAGTTCAATGTGCAGAATTGTTTGCGTTAGCTACGTAAGCGCAAATAGTGCAGCGCAGTGAGGTTGTGGATGAATACCACGGAGTTCGGCGTAGGGCAGGCAGCCTTATGCCTCACTTGACCTTCACTATGATTAAGGTAAATGGATTTTTGTAGCGTTACATAATTGTTTTTTCTATCGCTAGTTTTCTTGATTTTAAGTTTATTTCATGAGTTATTTACTGTATGTACTTTATTTAACACAATTAAACTTCGATTGCTTATGGTCTCAGCCAACAGCGATCGGAGAAATCTAGGCCTTGCCTAATGCACGTTATACGAACATTCCCAAGTGATTGCTTTCTGTGACCCATGTTAAAATGTGTTGTGGTATTCATAAAATTGGATAGAGTATATGTTCCATTAGTTTAATTATGGGTAGTGTTAGGGTAGAGAAATGAAAGAATCATAGGAAGTGCAAAGCGTATGTACAGCGATACGATATGAGTAGCGATAGAAAACAGACAACAGCGTGAAACAGTGCTGAGGGAAAACGAACCTAGTAATCGGGTAGAGGAGGCACAACTATTTTCTGCGATGGGATTTTATCTTCATTTTGAGGGAAAATTGTTCAGTTTTCGACATACGGAAAAGTCGGGTTAGGGATTGTTCTTGGGAACCTAACCCTTCCGTAACCCGGGGACTACCTGTACTATTAAGGATTGGTTTGAAAGTGTTCAATAGGCAAAGCGCCATGCCATGAGGTGGCTAGTAGATGGTAGTACAGAAAGTTGGTTCCCTTACATGAATTAGATCTTAACATTTCGATTTAAAGCTTTCGTAACTGCAGGGATTCATCTTCTTGGTTCTTTCGGTAAAGTCACGTAGAAGGGAAATAATAAAATAATAAAAATAAAAAATTATAAAATAATTCTCACGACGTTTCGGCCACAACGCAAGCAGCCGTCATCAGGTAAAGAACAGCCCAGATGTTGACAGTTCGTGCTCCAGGAATGGCAGTTGGAATGTTGGGAAGGTTTCTGAATCCCCTGCTCCCCGCTGCTGTCCACCCAGTAGTGTAAATGGGTCACCAGTCAGTCAATCTGTAGGTTGCGTGTGGTGGGGTAGAGTGTGGGTACTCCCACCTCTCCAGAGGACTCTGGCGAACGTGAAAATGTAGGCCAAAATACTCCAACAGGGACTCCCAAGAGCTCCCTCTAGTGGAGACCCTTCTGCCAGCAGTGGCGTTAGCAAGGAATTGCAGGGCCGTGCCTTTACACAATCGTTAGTTACTCAGAAACTCATATAACCAAGCTGATCTGTGCATTACGAATTTAACAAAACATCCATTACTTGCTTAAAATAGTTTCTTATGCTCAAGAGACACCCAGTAGACACGCAACCTTGGGCTAATGTGAGTCAGACGGTTCCAAACACATGCCAACATTGGGCCGAAAATTATCTATTTCCACACGCCCAATTTGATACGTACCCAGTAAACATTGAACGTCGGGCCAACATTAGCATGTGGTTGTTACTGTCAGACCAACGTTGGCCCAACGTTGCATGTTTACTTGGCATATGAATCGGAATGGTACGTGGGAGTAAAGATTAAACATTTTATTATTTGTTTGCATCATACGCTATTAGTTTCCTTGACCCCTGCAGCCACGAGAGTTCGTTACACATCACTACCACGTTGAAGAAATACAAGTAATCGATTCTTAAATTAGCACTGCGAAGCTCACCGTGCATGACCGTGCAGATCGAAAGAGCGAGCGTCAGTTCCGGAAGAGGCTCACGAGCAACTGGGTGAGGCCGAACATGAGAAGGTGTGCAGAGCACAAATTTGCTGTTGATCGTGATGGAGTCTGTGAACAGAGAACACAAAGCGCACGTTACAATAAGATCATCCGAAGGGCACACCCTGCTGAATGTTTCCCTCTGAGTATTTGCCACGAGACCATTCGTTTGTCAGTTAATTTCTAACATCGTTTTTGGGTGCATTGTATTTTATTCCATTAAGGGGTTAAAACTCGTGTGTAGTTACCGAGTTCCAGTCGACAAATTGGGTTCACGTACTAAATAATCCACGTACTCAATAATCCACGTGCTCGTCACTTGTCAACAGTGCCCCTGAATGTAGAAAGAAATCACTCCCGATATGTCTCACCAAATGTGATGTGCGGAACGCATCTATGATATGAGCAGCTTTTGTGAAAGTCAGCGCTAACATCCCACTCTCTGCTCTCGCCTCTGTGTCTTTGCCGGCAGGGTTCCCCTCCGAGCTCGCTCCACAAATCTCTGAAAGCATTTCCCTCAAACGGTCGCCCATGCCCTCGATCTATTCTCATTTTCGCAGCATTCTACGATTACCCCTTTGGCCAGCTGCACCGCTCCCCTCTCTTACTTTCCCTGCACCTGCACTTTCCCCCTGGCCCTGACTCCATCCCCCTCTCTGTATCCACATCTATATCCGACGCACTGAAGTTCCTCGGACCACTCTTTTGTCCTCTCTCACGAAGTCTATCCCACCTGGCCCCATTGCCACTATTGCCTGGCCCGATAGGCCCTATCCCACAAACACAATGCAGAGTACGCAGCACAACCACGACAAACATGCACAGTGGTGTTGTTTGGCAGGAGGTCTGCATGGACAATGCCATTTTAAGTCTTCCCCTTTAGACGCCAACCTCTGAGTGCCACTTTAATTCCTGTCCTGCCCTCTTCCATCCTGCAGGCGTGTTCCACCCATGTAAAACTCCTTTTCCCGATTAAAACTCCCAAGTATTCGATGGGCAGAAGTTTATTTTCAAAGAGGTAGGTCTGCTCATTTTATTGCTTTCAGAGAGACGTAGCCCTGAATTGGTCCCCCCCCCCAACTGCGATTTGGACTCCAATAAGATTTCTTTTCCGCTGTAAAGCCCGGTGTGGCTCGGGAGACACAAAGTCGTTTTTCCATTGTCGAAGCCGAGCCATGCACCGACGCACACACAATAAATGTCATTAGTGCCTCCCCTGACCCTGCTAGGCTCTGAGCCAGATTTGAGATGTCTTGTGAGGCCAACCTACCAATATTTGGTTCTGGCTCGGAATGGAAAGTAGCCAGCGGTAAACCACCTGCACTGGCTCAGCTCGGGTGTACCAGTGGAAAAGGGACATAATTCTGCCTGTAATACATCCCTCCTTACCTCCATCACTTGAGAGACCCAGTCTGTGTAGGCAGACACCCGTGTGAACACAGAGGGCTTGTGGAAAACGCTGCAGTTCTTATGTCCAAAGCTGGTGATTCCATACACAACCCATGAACCGTTGGGTTCCTGGCAACTCAGTGGCCCACCCGAGTCACCCTGTGTGGGAGGCAGAGAACAAAAAAGGCAGCTGTGCAGGCCGAATCTACGAGCATTCTCAGTGCTGTGATTCTACAGTGGTTAGCGCACTGCAATTCGGTATTCTGAGTCTGGCATATTGTGTGTGCTGAGGTCAAGTCTCTGTACGATGATGGTTGGCCGGGCATTTCCTCATGTGGACCCCAGGCTGTGGAGTTCACTTCCACTGGATGTTTTCTCTGCTGATTCATTTGTAAGGGCTTTGTCTATTTCCTCACTATTTGGTTTTGGAGTTGTATTTTATTGATGTGAGTCTGCGTGCATGTGTGTGTGTTTTTTTCTACAGGGCCTTGTGACCTCCGGGTGAAAGGCAATTTAGAAGTGTCAATTGTTATTACTACACTACGAACCCAGCGGTTTGAGTTTATTTCTTGGCCACAGATAACATCAGTGGCGATTTGAAATGTGAACCGGCCTTGCATTCCCCCACCCCACCCCCGAAAACTGCTAGGCGTTCACCAACTCATACAGACCAGCGTGGTGAAGTATGGCCAAGCAACCACCCAAGACCGACATGGTGCCGTGAGGTATCCATCTAACAGTGGATTGTCAAATGGCTCTAAATTATTGTTACATCATTTGAGCTTTGGGGCTTCCACTCAACGTTCAGATTGGTAAATGCGCAATATCGGTTCAGCCAAGGTATCTCGTGGTGGCCTATGGCTGTTGAGTACACAGATTGTCAATTCATCTATTCTCCTCCATATAAAATTATCTAATTGTATTCCGAATGTGATTTGGCTTAATGTTATTAATAGTAATAATAAGTAATCGTTAATAACAACTGTATTTTATACAGCATCATTCATGAAAATTGCATCTCAAACAGCGAAAATTGCGAATCAGCTCTAAGATTCAAGACTATTTGTTTGACCGTCATTAAGTGAACATTACTGTCAGTGGCAGAGCGAGTGGGAATTACTGCCCCCGTCCCCCAACCCCATATTGTGTGAACTAGAGGTCATTTTACGAAGAGATCTCAGATCTGATGTAAGGGCACCTGGTATACAGGAGTTCGTGGGTTCGATCCCGACGCTGACACATGCATATTTGGAGTTTGCATGGTCTCTGTGGTCACGTGGATTGTTCTTCAGGTCCTCAGGTTTTTTCCTGTCCACATTTAAAACCAACATGCGTTTTAAGTATTAAGATGCTATAAATATCCACATGATACGCTATATCGTTGAGCTATCAATTCTGGCCAGGTTGCTTCTGAAAAAGAGCTATATAGCTCAGTTGGCCTTACCTGGTAAAATAAAAATTGTTTAAATTTCGATTTAAAGCTTTCGTGACTGCAGGGATTCATCTTCTTGGTTCTTTCGGTAAAGTCACATAGAAGGGAAGTAATAAAATAATAAAAATAAAACACATTATTTTAAAAATTGTTTAGTTTAGTTTATGTGGCCCTTTTCAAATATGACTGGTCAGGTGGTACCGTCACAGCCACGACAGCTGTATCAAGTAAATGAGAGATTGCAGGAGCTACCACTCCGTTTATATAATGGTTGGAGAAGGTGGTGGGTCAAGGGCCGCATACTTATTATTAATATGGTAAGGTGAGGCTTAAGACTAAGAATAGACTGCATAACAAAGGCTGAGCCTTGGTTATTGAGAGGTGCGGTTTGTGACTCCACCTGTGACAGGGAGACCACCACTGAACATGGTAAAACAGTAATGGTTGTCTGTCAAATAAGATTGGCAAATAAGTGTAGTTAAATCTTTTTTGCATGGTTAATCACATCTTTCCAATGATTACTCAGTTTGTAACCGTCATCACGGTTGAAATTATGTCTGTGTTTGTATATTTGTATGGCTTCGTGTACAAACCTTTGATGGTAGCCAGGAGGTTTGCAGAGAACCTTGGTCTCGGAAAATACAATTTCATGAGAGCCCACCGAGTTGTAGCAATGATCGGCAACGGCCGAAGAATAAGTTCTGCCGTGTTTCAGATCTGACTTGTGCTCGCGGACACGATCAGAAACATGACGTTTCGTTTCTCCAATTTAGCAATAACCACAAATGCAACTCAATTTGTAGACTCCAGGATACTGTAAGTCAGGAACGACATCCTTCACAGATGGAATCAAATCACGGATTTTATGTACTGTACTGAATCGGACTTGTTTGTTTAGAATTTTTGAGATCTTTTTGGTCACGCCAAAATTTGTTATGCAGTCTATTCTTAGTCTTAAGCCTCACCTTACCATATTAATAATAAGTATGCGGCCCTTGCCCCACCACCTTCTCCAACCATTATATAAACGGAGTGGTAGCTCCTGCAATCTCTCATTTACTTGATACAGCTGTCGTGGCTGTGACGGTACCACCTGAAGACGAAAGCTTGTGTTGCCTCCGAAACGTCGTGATTTTTATTTTATTTTACTTTTTAATGTTTTTACCTACGTGACTTTACCGAAAAAACCTAAGAATATGAATCATTGCAGTCACGAAAGCTTCAAATCCAGAATGACTGGTCAGACTTATCTGTGAGAGATCCGAATTCATGCTTTGTCTCATGACACGACGCCAATACCACAAATTGAGATGAAATTGTGGGAAAAAGTGAAAAGAAAGAAAAAAAGTTACTTATTAAAGAGATATTGACATGAAATTGTAATTGCTGGATACCGGGTGTGCATCGCCATGCCACACGTGAGCTCGGTGTATTTCTACTTACATTGCAAACTGCGTGATCATCCCCAGCACAAATCAGGTTCGTGTTGACGTTGCGCCACCACCAATCACGCTGGCTGCACGTGAAGTAGTTCACAAACGGGAGCTTGGCCTCCTGCAGCACGCTGGGAAACTGACCATCACCTGCACTCAAGCAGCAACACGTAGTGTGTTATTTTTCTATTACCCCATATCGTATCTTCCTGGCTCCGAATCGTACTTAGTGTACTAGTTCCACCGTGACAGCAGAGAACCCAGAAATTCCCACTAACTGTTAACTTTTAACACTTACAGAGGTATTCCCTCCATGTAGTAGGCAGGGGGGGCATTGCCACATCCCTTTGGGGCAGTGGAAGGCTCAGTATGAGCTCCTGCATAGTTACCATAGTAGTAACACACACGATGTTCTTAGTTCACCTGGTTAAAGCTCGGACGAGTCTCGAGCCCCTTTTTCAGAAGGTGTCAGCTTTTGGGGTGTTAGAGGTTGTATTTGTGCATTTGGAGAAAACCGCAGTACCAAGGAGAAATCATGCATATGAGAGGAACATGCATAAAGGTCTGCACAGAATGGCTTCACAATCCATTCCCAGTACTGCCATCTCTTGGCTATCTCGCAGCTCAGTAGGTGTGAGAGTTTCATAAACTGACGTGATGCAACCAGCACTTGCCTCCAAGTATAATAATTTCAACTTTGTAACGCCTCACAGTATTCGCTCACCCACGTAGTGAGAATGAGTCAGAGGCGCGAGGAAGCACGGACAAGCAGGAGGACAGCCACCCGATGAGCTTGCTCCAACAATTGCCCAAGCTCTGCGGATCTCTGTATATTAAGGTGTTATCAACCAATCAACGTTTACACGTGGGAGGAAACTAGGACAACCTTAGAAAACCCAGGCGTGCACGGGGGGCAACACTCTACAGATGGAACAGGTGGAGTCCACATTTTTTGCTGTACTGCATCTCCTGGCAAGTCAGGGTTTGGCTCCTCCTCAACACACACAGGAAGGGAGTTTTATAACATTTGTGTGATCCAGCAACCCTCGCCTGCAAAGTTCCGGATCATAGGCATGCACCACCATACCCGGGTCACGTTACAGCGATGAAAGTGTTCGATTTTATTTAAAATTCCAATAATTTCATCATGCAAAAATTTTCCCCATTGAAATTATTTCAGTGAGCAGCGTGTGAATGCACAACATCACGTATGGAGTATTTGTTGAATTAAAATAAAACTAAGACGGTTAATTCTCAAAGCTGGAATAAGCTGCATCTGGATGACAATTTTTTTTTATTTTGGTCCACTCAGTACATTTGAAAACTAGGTTTAATCATGGGTGGGTATACGGATTTGATTTGAGGATCTCATACGATGGGTAAATAGCCACCTGAGTTACCTAGTCATGATAAAATAAGAGCAAATATTGTGTCTGTTACTAAATATATTTCTTACTTCGTAACTACCATTAGCAAACTCTACTAATGCCAATTTAAAAACTGGTCCTCAGAAAACGTTTTAAAAATGTAATGCTCATCAAGCTCCATCGTGTAAGGAGGTTTGGTCTCAAATTCCAATCTACTCTCTAGCCTCTCTGCGTGCTATGAAGGAGTGCCACGGTGTTACTGACAAATGTTTTTGCATATTAAATGTTGGGGGAAATAACATTTTTAACCCTAGATTGGAACCAGTAGGGAATAGACAGCACTACGAGCTGGCGGCGGCGAGTTTAGTGGATGTCGGCGCAGCCGAGGGGAAAGAGCAATGTCCCACTGCAACGTGGTTCACTGGAGGCTTAGACAACTGTGGATGATCGACTAGAGAGTGCACAGAGGGAAATATTACGTTCATTGCCAGAGATTTATAAACGTTTCAACAACACAGAAAAGCAGTGCACTATGTGTACATAAAGCTCTCAGCCTTGTGCAAAACCACCAGTTCCTGAGCGGTAGTGGCTATGCACGTTGTTGTATATGTTGGTTATGAAAATTTGTTATGTTGTATGCGTGCGTGGGTGAATTATTATGTTGTATGTGTGGGTTATGAATATTCAGTGGAAATAATAATAATTAATGAAATTTGGCCAAATGTGTAATTATCCGGAAATATGTTAATTATGTAATTACGCACATTTTAATTATGCCAATTCGAGAGGTAATCGTATTAATTATGCGAGTGGGTGTAATTATGATAACGCAAGTCGTTATGATAACCAGACCCCGGTTCACCCCCTTATCGCTTTAACATTTACTGAGTATGTATTAGTGTGTTTATTAAGGTCACCAAGTTCAAATCTCAACGCAGAAGCAGATCTTATGCATAGATTTCAGGAAAGAATCACACAACCACTTCTGTATTGATCAATTTATTACTAATTCAACCTTAACTATGATATAGTATGCGAACTCTCAATCCCGGAACGTCAATACGGCATCAATACAGTATCATCAACGATTGTCTGATTTCACTTTGACAACTGCACATGGATCCCGCATAACGCGATGGTTGTTAGTGAGAGAGAGAGTCGTTAAAACATGCAAATACTATGCTAAGAAAACCTTAACGTTAATGAATGATTATACTCAATATTGTTCACGCAGTACCGCACTCCTTATTGATCATACGCAACCCTTATCACGTTGTTAACACCTTGGGTCACGGGACAGTTGAATATTCTGTAGAGGATGCGAGTACGTGCGGCGATTATGACTGAAGGATACTTGAAAGATTATACGGCGATAAAAAAAAAACACAATCAAAACAGTTACTATTCTTAAAGGCACCAATCTCAACAGATACATCGGCAGGTTATCTGACAGCAGAACGGCTCGGAGTAAGGGCCTGCGACGGTGCTCCTTTTCCGAAGATCGTTATCTTATACCAAGTTTACTAATTGGGGACCAGATCACCTGATAAGGATCCGGTGGGCCACCACTCCCCACGTGAGCGTGGCTCGGCGGAAGGAGGTGCCAAGAATCAGTTCGTATTGATGGATCTGTTGGGAATTTATGCGATTAAGAGTACAGCCCACTAAATATTAAAGATAAAAATTAAGAATACTCTTATACGACGGAGGCCACCACTCGGTCTCGTTGTGATGCCTTCCCAGCCACGGATGACTTATGGGTTCGAGTGTGTTTGAGTGGTAAGAGTTGTCTTGAATAGTCAGTGTTCGGAGTCGATTCTTTATGTCAAACAGACGCCTGGTGGTCGTGTGGTGAGGGGGCGGTGCGCGTCATACGTATCAGGCGCTCCCCTGTCACCGTGGTGAATTGGCTCGGATGGCTGTTGATACGCTGTCGCAGTTCGGAACCCGGTCGGTAGGTGGCGCCCACAACTCGCTCGTAGCGTGCAGCGCTGGATCGTCGCCAAGTCGCGACGCTCACCACCGGCGGCAGCGGAGATCTCCGGCGGCAGCAGAGATTGACGAGCTGAAGATGAGTCGAGCCGACCCGCTGGTCGCAGCTCGCTCCTGAGTCGCCTCTCCCGGTCGAGCTCGCTCCTGGGTCGACCCGCTGGTCGCCCTCGCTCCTGAGTCGACTCTCTGGTCGCACTCCTGAGTGGACCCGCTCTGGTCGCACTCGTTCCTGAGTCGACCCTCCCGGTCGAGCTTCTGAGTGGACCCTCCCGTCGCACTGGTTTCCAATGTTCAGGATCCGTTCCTTTATGCTGAAAAATCCCCCTGGATCCCGCCCACAAGGCGGGGCTTCCGATTTTTGCTGTGTCAGGATCTGTCCGTAGGCAGGTGTGTCCATGTGTGTGTCCGTATGTCCTTGTGTGCATCACTGACGGTATATTCCGTTGTCAACTCCCTCCATAAAACCCACGAGCAAACAACCAGATGTTACAAATTGTCTCGAAGTCGTCTCTCTGTCTGGGTGCAATTTATCTCTTGTCTGGCCTTCTTCATGAACCCAAAACACAGACGTTACAAATCGTCTCATAGGCGTCTTTGTTCGTGTTGCACAACCTGGAGGGAGGGGCAACACTCTCTCCGACCCGGCGCACAAAGAAATGGTTAAAAGTTTTAAGTTAACATTTGTCCCTTACTATTTCACAGTTATGATTCTGTATGTAACCTAAGGTCTGTCGTTTCCCATCGTGGTTCCCGACCCAAGTGTAGGTGTTTCCCCGAGCGTACACACACTCCTATCCCGCGCTGCGGGGATACAAAGACGGCCGGGATCTCCCTTTCTCTCCGACCCTGGGTTTAACATTGTTTTTTTTTTATTATGTATTTATATTCGACCTGGTGGTGATTCATCCCGTTATCCTGGCTTTTCCATAAGTTTTACTTTTGTCTTTTCATGCATATACTTATTACTATTAATTTATTTCCGATATCTTAGGTTAAGGGGTAAGTTTCTTGATCCTAGGAATTCGTATTCCTTGGTGCCTGGATGGTTATATAAGCGGAATATAGTTTACGGTGAATAGCGTTAACATTGATGTTATGTGCGATATTATGTATTGTGATGTCTTTAACTTAACTTGTTTGTCAGGGCTTTACTGACACGAAGTTGCATTCCATAGCCCGCAGTCTTTGCCCCACCCTATCTCTGCTCGCCGTTGTTGTTGCCTGCCGTTAATTCAAGGCCTCATTAATTTCCGTCACCCCTGAGTAGGTGAGGGCGGTTGAACCTTGGAGTCAGTTCTGGTTTTTGTCTGCCTGCTTCTTCTTGTGTCCCCTGACCCCGGGAGTTATTATTCTACTTTATGGCCTGTCGAAGCCCCACTCGCTGTTGCTGGGCTGGTGTTGTTCCCGGCTTTTTGCTTACGTTTGCAGTTCGCCGTGCTCTTGATTTCCTTCCCTCTTCAACCTTATATTGACTATTCGCTCCTGTCTGGGTGCGATTCAATTTTGACTTAGGAAGGTTCTGATTGTCATATGCTTCGGGTCGAATTGTATAGAAAGTATTGAAGTATGGAAATAACATTTCATATTGACTTAATAATGGTGATGGTTCAGTAGGCGTAACTTGTGGCCTGGTTTAATTGGAGTGGGTGTGAATATCGATAACTTTAGCCTACCCTGTTGTTAAATTCCGACTTTAACGTTACTTTAATAGCAATACAGAATAATTGAGCTTTTTGTCTTAACTAGGCGAATGCGAACTTCTGGTGACCCCGCAGCCTTGTTGTTCAGCTG